AATCACAGAGAAGATTGGACCAGTGGCTTATAAGTTAGCATTGCCTCCAGAACTATCTCAAATCCACAATGTATTTCATGTTAGTATGCTGAAGAGGTACAAAGTGGATCCTTCCCATGTTATACAACCAGAGGAGATCGAGTTAGGCCCAGATTTGACTTTTGAGGAGGTTCCAGTTCAGATTGTTGATCACCAGATTAAGACGCTTCGCAGGAAAGAAATCCCAATGTTGAAAGTGGTGTGGAGAAATCAAGATAGTGAGAGTGCTACATGGGAAACTGAAGCAAGTATGCGAGAGAAGTACCCTGAGTTGGTAGCGACCTACTTTAAAGGTTAACAATCTTGCTTAGTAAGTTATGTTTTGAACTTGTTGATGTGCTTTTGTTGTGATAGCCCAGTATAGGTTTTTGAAACCTAAACATGGGAACTTGAGGTGTTATGTGTTACTTTCTATGTTATGAATCACCTAACCTAAGAGTTAGGTAATGGTTTATCTACGATAGACCATGTCAAGCGTAAGTAAGCGGACTAAGGGTACAACTCAAGGTTAGATTTCGGGGACGAAATCTTTTTAAGGAGGGGAGAATTGTAACATCCCGTTCCGACAAAACCCATATTTCGATCGCTAGAAAGTTCGCGATTTAAAATCGAGCATTTTGGCAGTATTTCGACGAAAATCGGATTATCAATCGATCGGATAAGTATACGTATTATATATATATTATATATATATATATATTATATATATATGGGCCGCATATATATAATCTCCTGTCCATTTAATTCATCCTCATCATCGTCTATTTCCACCTCCACAGAGAGAAGCAAAAACCAGAGCGACCAGAGGCGCGCGCAAGGTAACTCCTGGGAAAATTTCACAGCTCGAATCTTGAGCTCTAGGTGATCCAAAAATCCCGTAGGTAATGCCTAATTCATCTGTACATCGTGATTTATCGTTTTAGAGCTTTAAAACAAGTTTTTGGTTCAGGAATTTCTTGAATTCCCGATAAGCCAAATTAGGGTTTCGGAGTATCCGGAAGCCGGATTGAGCCCAAATTTCATATACGAGCTTCCTGCAGCGAGGTAATCAATCCTCTAGTTCTAATCCCTGAATTTCGGCTATTATTTAGGCCGGGGTCCAAACCGCTGAATTTAGCTCCGGCCAGGGTTTGATGTATTTTATCAAGAATTTGACCCGGAGCCTAGAACTAATATTGACGGGGATACTGCAGGGGATATTAGGGCGGTCTCGGATTTTGATTTGGGGTTCGTTCGTGAAATTGACGTTTTAGTACGGGAAGGTTAAACCGGTGTTCGAACGACCAGAACTGGTGAGGGATTAGCACGGCATACCGGGTTTGTCGTATCACGATAATTATATTAATGTTTAGAATTGACCTAGGTGAATTAGAATGGCATGATTAGGGGTGTATGGACTTTTTATGCTATATGATGAACCATGGATTGTTGTATGATATTATTGACTTGCCCTACCCGATATGGACCTTGTTTATGTTGATGATTGCATACATGTTGCCATTTGTGGCTTAACCGTTGATATGACTTCATGGTGGTTCGATCAGGTGTTTTGACATGATGTGATATTGTGATTGTATTTAGATTCACAAGTGGGGGAAATAAACATCCCAGGGTGATATTATGATGTTTAAGGAGGATGACTTGCACGAGGGTTTATCCCGAGGAAGTGCTATTATACGACTCCTGATATACCTATGTTGAGCCAATCATGGCCAGGTCAAGTATATGTGCAAGTAACGAATTATGATTAAGCAAGATGAGATATGAATCATGTATAAGGATCCCAAATATGAGTGTTGTGGTCTCACGGTCAACTACATAGTAATTAGGGCTCCCTATGCTATTACTCTATTATGATATGTATGATAGTCACACCTCTCATGTGGTGGTGACTGAAGATTTCTTACGAGATATGACCACACCCAGAGCGGTGTCGGGGTATGACTACACCCATAGTGGTGTGGGGTATGTATGACCACATCCGACGGGATGTTGGGGTATGTATGACTACATCCGACGGGATGTGGGGTATGTTTCCCGGGAGAGTTAATAGCATGGGAGTAGCCAGGCGCCTATAAGTAAAATATGATAAGATGCATATGCATAAGTCAACGTGGTTGAGTCTTTTGCCTATTGGGATGTCGGATGCCTGAGGTCTGATCCTAGTGCTTTGGCTTGTTTGCTAGATGTATGGTAGGGGTATGCTCTGTTATGAACTCACGATGCTATGATTATCTCACTCAGCTATGAGCTGACCCTCTTTATCTTTTTTCTCTGCTTATGCCATGTGTAAGCAGATCATCACCACCAGCAGCAGTAGATAGGTGTATAGGTGGGAGTTGAGCAAGAGTTGAAGGCAAGATGAGGTATGGTCTTCAACTATTCTGTGCTTGGACTACTACTCGGGATTTTGGCCAGTGATCCACACCTTTTTGTAAAAAAATGTTTTGAGAACGTTTTTCATGTGCATACTAGCTTCTGATATAGTGTGAGATATCCACATGTGTGGAAAGTTGATGATGATGTGTATATTTGTGTAATTATGTAAGTTGTGACGATTATGGCATGTATCAGTATAGGATGCAGTTGTGTAACATGAAACTGTGACTATGGCTATGAAGAGCCAATACATATGGCAGTGAGTATATATGTTTGTTTATGAATGCATGGATTTAGATGAATTATTTTGCAGGATCAGATGGAAGAACTGTTAGCCCATTACGCGAGTAATTCATGTCGAAATTTTATTTGGGTAAATTTTGATAATTAGTGTAACACCCGAGATTAATTCCGCTGCAATTGTATGAACAATATGATTAGGCAAAACGTATAGGGTAGGGTGTTACACTTGTAATGTTTTCGTTCTTATGGTACTTGTTTGGGGGGTGTTTAGGTTTTTAGTTCTAGTAACAATTTGGGGTACTAGTATTATTTTCCTTCTTCTCGTACTACATTGGGGGTACTAGTTTTGTTTCGTACTGGTGCTGGTTTTTGTATGGTGGTATTGTTTCCGTGTAGTGGTATTGATTTCGTATAGTGGTACTGATTATTATGTGTGATTCTTATTTTAATATGTGGTTGGAAGTCGGAGAAAGACATAAGTTAAAAATAGAAATGTACTTAATATAAATTTTTAATTACCAAATATGTGTAATTAATAAAAAAATTTCATTTCAAAAAAAAGTAATTTATATGAATTTTTAATTCACAAAATGTAAATCATATGTAGAGTTTTTAATACCAATTTTGCTCTTTGGTTTGCATGCTGCAAACCACCTATAAAATTTGTACCATATCCTGTCCCAACAACAAACGAACCCTACATGTATTGGACAAATTAAGCAAGATCTATTTAGTCTTTGCATTCAAAAATTAAAGTGAAATTTATGCGAAATAGAACTGCAACTATTCCTCGAAATTGTGAACGTGGAAGTATGACCTTTAAAGATATGGTGGATTGGGGCATTGGGCCTAACCCATTCAAGTTCGGGTCATCGTGATACTTCGACGACTTAGACCATCTACATCCATGAAATAGCAATTCTATTTCATATGTGGTCTCTATTGCCACATTAGCCACTTTTTTCATTTCACTACAAATCACTTTCATTTCCTCTACATCAATGAAATCCATTATCTATTTCATAGTGGGCCCACAAAACAAAAATACACTCTCTCACAACTCACAAAATATAATAGAAATAAAGAGAAAAATAGCATAAACGTGGGTGGAGCCCACTCTTGCTCTTCCATTTGGTATTTCATTAAGTGGAAGATTCCACTTTATGAAATAGGGGCTACAACAATGGAAGGGGAAATGAAAGTGCCATATAGGATATGAAATAGCAACATGACAGCCGTTGTGGATGCTCTTAGGGATACAAAGCGTACGACATCAAACCATGACCCATCAGTTGACTAAGTCTAACACTTCGATAGTGTTTTTGCAAGTTAATTAAATTCCTCCTTTTCACTTGTAAATAGACAATTCGTAAAGGATTTCTTCCCTGCACACAAGTTTGGGCAGAGCAAAAAAAGTGCATGACAAATAATAGCTAGCTTGGAGATGCCAATGTATATCAAGTACAGCTTTACTTCCAATCACATTCACTCTCTTGGGTATTATGATATTTGCTTTTCCTCGATTCGATTCATTTCAAAACTAACTCAATCTACAATTTGTAAACAAGAAAACCACATGAATTTTCACCAAAAAAAAAAATCAGAACACTTTATTATTAATGAGAAAAAATGCATAATTTAACTTTAATTCGGTGGCGAAACCAGGAATCTAAATGAAGAAAAATTGACTTGAACCGTGATAATTGGAAGGGGAAACTAACCTTACCAGACTTTTGTATTCCCAACATTGTTACGAATTTTACATGTAATTTATGGTTGTCACGCCGGCCGGCGTGCCACCGGTTGAACCTGATTCAACCGATACCGATCATAAAACCGGCATGCCACCACCGGTATAACCGACATAATCGATATACAAATCTCTAAGTAAAATGACCTTATTTTAGGGAATTTAATTGATAAAAATAATTTTATTATTTATTTATGAGTATAAAAGTTAAATATTGATGTTATTTGTTGGATTCAATTATAAATGTTTAAGTATTGACATTAAATGTCATGTTTAAATATGAATATTTATAATTTTAGTTGTAATATTGACCGACATGAACTGGCACAAACCGGTATGCACTAGTCGAACCATTCCACTTGCTAAACTGGCACATTGGCATAAACCGGTTTGTAACCTTGATGTAATTTCATCCATATTTCAAACCTGGCTCTACGTTATATCGTTACACTATCCAGATACCGAAACTGTGATATTAATTGATAATTACAACCTATTTTAGGCTAAAGGTCCATACCAAGTGCACCATATATCTATATCCATTTGAGTAGGAAGCAGAAATTATTTAATAAAAAGTATCAACGACATTAGGTCACTCTGAAAACAGGGAAAAGAAAGCAACTGAAACCAAAAACTTGAAAAGAACCAAAACACACAATTTGACAACTGCAAGTAATTTCCAACTTCGACCTGTCCTGTCCATAAAACAGAAATCCAGATTGAAAGGCTAAAATGTAACAACCCTCCTAGATATAGGATTTCCTTTGTTTGTCAGCATCCTACAGGGAGGACCTTAGAAAGTGGAGGAAATTGGATGCAACCCCTAGTGGGAAAGACGACATTAGTACAGCACCACTGATCAAAGTGGGACGACGACTTTGCAGCCACTTGTTAGTACCTCTATTATATTCACTATTGTTGGTGTCCAATGGTAAAAAATAATGCACAAGATAGAACTTGATAGACTTTGCCTAATTATCCACCACAGATTCAACACTATGACCTATTGAGCAGCACGTTGTGGAAACATCAAACAGAACTAAGCTAGCTCGATGAATTCGGCCGCATCAGCAGCCAGAGAATCTCACTCCCACAGGACCACACCTCAGTATCAGCAAAGCTCAAATACCAGGCAAACTAAAGCAATTTGAGACGGGGAAAGAACAAAAAATCTTTCAGTTGAAACTTACTATTTAGTATTTACTGCAGCAACATTGTCTATGGGCACTGCAGACAACAGTATCAGCAAAGTTTACCCAAATACCATCCCATCTCTGCAAAAATTTGGTGCAACTGAACTTTCAGAATTCACTGGTAATCATAACATGTTTAAAGTCATAAGAGAAAACGGCGAGCAATAACCAGGTCATACTCTGACGAGAAACTTCTCTCTACTAGACCGGTACGTAATGTAGCAGCAAGAGATGGAAGTTTAATCAAGTTCTGGGTTTCTTAGGCGCGCTGTCATCCCGGTGCTCAGGCTTGCGTTTTATCCCCAGGAAATGCTCAACCTGAGCCAATTGATAAAAAATATATTTACCATAAGATTTGGATGCAAAGGCCATTACTGCAACATGGCAGAGTAAGAGGCAGCAGCAACTTTATACTTGAAATTAGACTACTCTTAATCACAAATGCTGACTGACCTTTTTGTCACCAAGCATTGGAGTCAATCCCCCAGGAAACTCCTTTTCTACCGTTGCAAAACCACTCCTTGGATCGCTCGTTTGCCTGCAATGAATTTGTTATAGAAACCATCAAAAAAAAAATTGGTATAGAGAAAAATTAATTCCCTAACCAATGTGCTAACGATCATCATGTCAACAAAGAAATGCTTCTATTACACTGCTCTGAGATCTTTCTAACTTTAATCTAATAGGAGAAAGACAGGCAGAGAGGAGAAGATAGTAGAATCATACCCAGGTCTCACATGACCACTAAGAACGAGGTATGGTGTCTGTAGCTGCGCCTGAGCTTCCCTCATCCTCTCCACGGACAATGAAGGTGTATCTGAATTCTTCATTTGCTTCAACTTCTGTTCTTCCTGATATTGCTTCATCCGCTTTTCTTGCTTCATTTTCCCAGGGGCCTTGCCATGGAATGTATGAGAGATCTTCCTAAATGCCTCTTTTGGTGTCATCTGATATTTCATTGAAAATTGGTCAGGATATTGAAATAAAAGTGAAAATATAGAAAAGGCGCGAATCAAGTTGATATTTAATGATTGAAATAGCATGGTAAAATAACAGTGATTTGAAACAAGACGCTTAATACTTTCTCTACTATGTTTCTAGCAGAACATTGAGGACTAAAGAGAAGCACAAAAGTATGCGTCTGAATTCAGCATAGGAAAGCAAATTAGAGCGAAGTCAAGTCCATTCAAATGGCAACTCCTAGCCTATGATCTCAATCAAGATAAATACGTAGGACGAGAAGAGATATTTATCTTCAACAAGGAAAATACCAAGCCCCTCAACCAATCACTAAAGGGAGATGGAAGACAGGCATGCAGAGAAATGCTTCCAAAAGCTGAATTGGGTTTCCAACTTAGCAGAATGCAAACATCAAGAGTAAAGTGAAACGACACCTCAAAAGCTTGAACAGAGAACAACAAGCGAACTTACGATTCTCCCAAATTCATCTCTCCTCTCAATACGAAGATCCTTAAACCGATCGTTATCCTTATCCTTATTCTTCTCCTTGCCCTTGTCCTTGTCCTTCGCGTCATCAGTGTCTACAATGCCAACAAGCTTGCTCTTTTTCTTATCCATATTTCTACCACCCCAGTCAATGCTTTCTTTCAGGGACCCTCGCTCGTGGAGCAGCTTCAATACACCTGATAAACCTCTACCAACAGGAACTTCATGAATTATCTCATCTGGAGCTACCTCTTTTGCATCCTCCATCGTAGTGTCTTCATCTTTAACTGTCTCATTTACTTCGGGCAACCCACCGGCCTTAACTTCCATATGCTCATGAGTAGCTACTACTGCATCATCTTCATCATTGAAAACATCTTCGGCATCAGCCTTGTGGGCATCTGAAGAATCAAAGAAAGTTTGTTGGTTCCCGTATCAGCAAAGTACATAAATAAATGAAACAAGAAAGGAAGAAAGAGGACAAACAAAGTGAAGCTAAAAACAAAAGGAGACGCCCAGAAACGACAAGGCAATAAAACTTCATTGACTCCTTGATTCTAAAAGCTTCAGAACTGAAGAAATACCTTCATCAAGCTGCAGACCCCAAACAAACTCTTCAATCTCAGTGAAGACAACCTTGCCTTCTTGTGATTCTTCAGTTGCAGGGTTTTGCTCATCAGCTGTCAGACTGTTCCTAATGGTGGTGGCAAGACGAGCAATTGCTTCAGGGCCAACTAGAGCCTTCTCTTGTTTTTTCAGAGCCAACTTTCTTGCTCTTTCAACAGATTTGTGGAGATAATCGTCTTCATCCTCGTCCATACCCATATCATTGGCTTCCTCATCAGCAACAGCAGAAACTGTTTGTCCTAATCGTAATGCTTTAGATGCTTCCTCTGCTTTTGCTAAAGCTAACTGATATGCAGCATTTCTCTTTTCTGCCTCAGATCTCTCTTGCTCTTCTCTGGCCTTCCTTCTACTGTCACTCCTAGAACCAAGATCACCAGTGCCTAACCCTGTGGAGATGGCTTCTGCTTCAAGAGCATTTATATCCAACTTATCCTTCTTCCTCAGGGATTTCTTTTTCTTTGGCTTCTTAAACTGAACCATTTCATCTTGAGTATAGTAATCAGACGAGATTCTTCCTGATGAGTTCAGATCTTCTGTACGATTATTAGTGGAACCACCTTGTAGTCTCCTACGCAACTGGAAAGACAATAAAGTAAAGCTAGTAAACAAAAACAGAAAATAATGGCAGGACAGCGTCCTTTTCAATAGTCTCCTACAACCTTTATAATAGCAGGAAAGAATATACCTCCTCCAGTTTTTTCTCTGCTTCACCACTGAAATGTCCCCTACCATCCAAAGTAAGTCCCTGAAATAAGAACCAAGGTTAGAAATCTACTTCTATTGCAGAACTTTTCTCTTATCTAGGGAGGAAGCGGATCATTGGAGTTGAAAAAGAAAACTAAAAACCAAGTTGAAACATCACATTCATACCTCATCTTCTGGTTCATCGTATTGAGGAAGCATCTTTTTCTCAGCCATAGGGTCGTCATTGAACCTTCAAGGTATAAAAAGGTTAGCAATGTGTCTACACGTTAAACTATTCAATGAGTAGCTAAAGAAGCATTCCACTTACTTGTCATCATAGGTGCCCTTTGGCTTCTTTGCAGCCTTGTACGCCTCATTTCGGCGCTTCTGCTCCCCAATTTCGATATTTTCAAGCATATCGACCTCTGTCAAATTAGACCAAAAACCTCTGTTACACAGAACTCAAAATGTCAATTTGTATTCTTAACATAAAGCAGAGGAACATGACAATTCAATCAACATTTACCATCATTGATATCGCCATCAGCAAGAATACTCTGATCTTTAAGAGTCAAAACAACTGCTCCACCTTCTATTACCTTGTCAAGGCCATCTAGGACTTTAACTCCAGCTAAATCATCTGTCAAGTTGCAATCATTACAATAAGTAAACTGTCATGATAATGCAACACTAGGAACATCGGTGAAAGGCTTTCAAGATACGAGACTCCTAGCATTGTTCGGAATCTAAAACAAACAGGCAGGAAATGAGAATGAAGCAAACAACTCAGAATTACACCTACCTACAAGACTGAACAAGTACCCTAAAAACAATCTCATTCAACAGAGCACAAGCAAATTTCAATACAGGACTTGTAAGGCTGCTTCATATTTATTCTCCATATTTTCCATGTTCAATATATGGATTCATAACAGATATAACATCTATAAGTATGATGGCAGAACAAGTATCTCCAGACAAGCAACTCGATCACAGACAAAAGCACTTGTATAAACAGCGACTTCTTTTGAGGGGTAAGATTAAATAAAGAAAAAGATCGTACGTGAATGGTCTTCACCGTCATTTCCTTCTTCACCAATGTTATCCTGAGAAAAGGTCGTGATCCTTGTCAGGCAAGAAGATTAAAAAAAACAATACAAACAGGGAGTAATTCATGATGCAAAATCAACAAAAGAACCTGCTCCTCGAAAATTTTTGACAGCCTCTTGGCTTTTTCCTTTGCAGCATTCCTTTTCTCCTCGAGCTTACGGTTACTGCTGACCCAAGACAGGATTTCTGAACCAGTATCTGTTTTCCTTGTTCTTTCTTCTTTCATTCTAAGTAATGCAAGAAATATGAACATTGATTACTAGTTGAAGGAGAAAGGAAAAGCTGTGAGAACTTTCTAAAAGATGTAAACTGATGCAAAAACAAGAAAACCTTACACTGTAGTGTATTGCTAGAATGCAGTACTAACCACTTATCAACCCATACAGTACACAGGAAAATCAGTTCACCAATGACATTTTAAATTGCTTTGCCAGATTGAATAGCAAGGAAAAGGAACGCAAGGATTAACATAATGGGTCAATGAATCAAGTTACTTACTTCATAATACGCTCCCTAAGTGCAGATGTTGATGTGTGTCCTCCACTGGAAGAGCGATCATCATTTTTCTGCTCTTCCTCACGGAAAGTCACTTTTCCTCTATGTCCATCATGTCCCCGGTCCACTGGAATTCTATCATCCTTGGGCCTCCCAAGATCTTCTCGGATGTCATCTTTGCTTCCATCCCTATCCCTTGACCGTTCTTTACCTTGGTGTAATTCTCTTTCTTTAGTCTTCTCTTGTCCCTTATCTTTCTCCCCATCTTTCTCATTTTCTTTTGGCTTATCTCGATCCTTAGGCTTTTCATTCGCTTTCTCTCTTTCCTTATCCTTTGCTCGGTCCCTATCCCTAGTCTTCTCATTACCCCTCTCTTTATCAGTCTCTCTCTCCCTTTCTCTATCCTTTTCCTTCCCTCGGTCCTTTTTATCCTTATCTTTATCTCGTTCACGCTCCTTCTCTCTAGATTTGTCCTGATCGTGATCTTTATCCTTTGCCTTGACATCCTTGCTCCTATCTTTGCCTTGCTCAGTGAACTTCTCGGATGAAACATCATCCCTAGCCTTCCTAGATCTATCTCTGTCTTTCGCTCTATGATCCTTGTCTTTGTCTTTGTCATCTCCTCTGGTACTTCTCTTCCTATCCTTCTCTCTCCCAGAATGCTTGCTAGACTTTTCAACTCCATTTAGCCCCAAATCATCAACTACTCTTGGAGAATCATCAGGATCAGCCCTCTCTTCACGACGATCATGCCTAGTTTCAAGATGCCTCTCATCCATTGTTACAACTGAAATCAAACAAAAATGTCAATTCACCAATTGTTTATCCTGGAAAAAAGAAACCAATAATCATTGCAGCTAAGTAGAAACCACAGACAGAGAAATTATGAATTGAATTTGAAGGTTGAAACATCCACACAGACCATACACAGTAATGGCAGGTTACTGAAAAATCAAAACCATTATACACAGGCAATTTTAAACAAAGTGTTTCGGCGTTTAACATCAAGCTCTAACAAGATTCCCAACTAATAAACAAACTAACTAGTTTGATAGCTACCTCAAAGCCAAAGGCCATAAGAATTAGGAGGCACACTGAAATAAGGATTCAAAAAGGCAAACTACAGTATGAGAAACATGTCGGTAAAGCTGGGAATCCATAAAGCCATACTACGAGTGCCATTGCGTTCTACCTTAACCATACTTCAAACTTTCGTCAGACAAGCTTTCAACAATATGAAAAGCAATAGAAGAGAGCTCAGCTCCCGCAACAAAAACGAACCATGATATGGGCAAAGAAACCAATGAAATTCACTTTGGAAGCATTATCTCTCGGGGCGAAACCAAGAAGGAGCTTACCTATAATATCCTCCTCTTCTTTTCAGGTCAGGAAGAACAGCAGTAGCAACAGTGCAACGAAAAAACAAGGCAGCGACCAGAGATAATGATCGGAGACCAGAGAGTACGTCCTATTCTTCCACGCCCAAATGTCCCGTCGACTTTTACCTAATCGACTCTCGATCTCGAGGTTTCCTTCTCTCTCTTCACGAGTTCAGATAAGTTACCTCGCTCATGGCGCTATACTACGATGTTCGAGTACCAGAAACACGCGCGTCGCGATGCGCGGAAGCAGTGAGAACGGTGACGAGGGCTAAAGCTCGGCCTCCCGCGATTCTCCCTTGATCTCAATTGCCTCTTATCAGTACTTTTTCCTAGGGTTGCTGTCTCGAACAAGCGGAGACGGCAGCCGCAACTCTGCGGTGTATTGCTCAAATTCCGCGCTCCTCTTTTCCCCCTTTTCTACTCCGTCCGAGTTGCTACTTAACCCGTTAACCGACCGAAAAAAGAGTTGTGTGGGTTTTTTTGTTCTTCTATTTCTGGCTTAAGGGTCGTTTTTTATTTGAGAGATGGATGATTATCATGGATTTAATAGAAGTCCATTTTTTGTTTTATATTTTTTTAAGCAATTTACACCTGTATAGTCAAAACTTTCGCGTTTGTGAGAATAATAATTACATTTGGAGAAATACTAATTATAGTCATTTTCGTTCAGTTCTTTAACGGTGTTAGATAACAAACTGATTAGACTAACAGAAAAGCTGACGTGACAATATTTTGTCAGCAACAATTCCACGTAGATGAATGAAAAAGATTCAAAATAGAATATTAAAATTTCAAAAGGTTATTTTGATTTGTGAAAACTAAAAAGAAAGTAAATAAATCAATAAAACAAAAATGAATGATGTGTGATCCGTTCTTTCTCTGCGTCTCACCGTCCTCCCAACCTTCACTGCAGCCGCTGACAACACCACTCACCATCACTCCCCTTGCCAGGTTGAATTATATATGTCGGCCTCTCTGCACCTCTCGATTCCAGATTGGTGACCCGCCTCCGTCAAATAGAGATTTGCACCCAAATCGTTGCTGGATTCGGACGGGAAAAAGGAAAGCTCGACGCAACGTTGCCCCAGGACTCTAAAAAAAAGAAAGGGAGAAATCAGGGGACCAAAGCTGAAGCGGATCCGGTCGGCAAAGTTCCACAGCAAGCCAATCTACCGAATCCCCTTGTGTTTACTCAGAATCAGGCCCAGATCTATGTTCGGCCTCTAGATTTTGCATCGTGCCTCAGAATTCGAGCTTCGCATATTGAGATTTATGGGTCATAAATCCCTTTACCGATCGATTGTTGGGGAACTGGGATTTGCATCCCTCCATTGTCGCCTCAGTATCGGCTTTGGGTTTCTTCTCCGTTGATAGAGGCGTCTAGGTGGAGCTTCTTTGCCCAAAAAGAGGAATTCTTGGCTCGAAGACCCATAAGAGGATTCTCTTCCGGACAGCTTTGGTTGTCGGAGGTGGGTTCGCAGCGGGAGGAGCCACCGTAGTGAGAGCCGGAATGGATGCTCACTTTTGATGCTGGTCGAAGTTGAGGAATTGCTGCTTGAAGTTCTGGGCAGGAGTAATCGCCAAATCCGAAGGTCGCGAATCTGCAGAGAATGGGGAGGAGTAATCGCCAAATGGGGAGGAGAATTTGGGGAAGAACCCTAATTTCAAAATCGGGTAAAAGTTGGGAAGAAGGGTCGTGACTCGAGCGAAGCAGATGAAGGGTAAAAAAAAATTTGCTTTATGATATGTAAATAATAAATAATTTAAATATCAGACGTGTCACTATTCGCTTATTTGGCGCTAACGTATCCGCTAAGTTGGCGCCTAGTCAGCGAACAGTCAAATAAGTTGATTGTGTTATTAACACTATTAAAGTTTATAACGAAAATGGCTATTTGTCCTACAACAACTTTAAAAGGTGGCTATAAGTGGTACTTCACCAAATTTGGCTATTATTGGCACAAACACGAAAGTTTTGGCCATACAAATGTATATTGCCTTTTTTATCAAAGCCGGATTTGGACCCTTGTAAATTCCAAGTCTTGAGGTAGGTTTTGGACCATACTACAAATGTTTGATGAACCATTCCGTTTGTAAATCACAAAACCTTTAGTTTTAAATTTATGAAGCAAACAACCCCTTAAATTTTGTTGTCCCCAATTAACACACCTCGTTTCTCATTTAATGTTCTCACACGGGTTTTTCTTTCTGCCAATTTTCATATTGACCATAGTACCCCTGACAGGAGAGAGCTAGTTTCACTAACTTAATGTGTGCTATCTAGTCCACTAGCAGGAGATAACTAGTTTTACTATACTTGAGTAAATATAGATTACAACGATTGAGAAGGTATATATAGTCCCTTCTCCATATGGTCAAACTTAATCCAATCTGAAAAAGAAAAGGTATCAATCAGACCAAAAACAAACAAGCAAACGTGTATAATCACATACAATGTGGGGTACAAAAATGTTACTTACTAGAGCTAAAACGTGTATAACCTAATCCAACATGGAAAAGGAAAAGTTATTTTCATCTCCACCAGTTTCCCACATTCATAACAGAAAATCAGGTCACTTTTCATACCTAAACTCCACCTCATCGACATGATCTTCATCTCTGAATTGGAATCCTTGAGGAAGCGGCTTATCCACACTAATAATCACCAACCATCCAAATTGAGTTATCAAACTTCATCCTTTCCCTTCTTATATTTTAATAGTATACACGTTCACAAAAAGGCTTCCAATGTTCAAAAAATTAATATAGCCTCTATGTTCATGAGCAAGGCCCCAGATTTGAACCCCAATATTGGTTGTAGATGTTTTCATATCCATTGGTCTTCTAAAGTTGCTCCGATCTCTTAAGATCAGGAAGGTTTAAATAATGTGGCATGGCCTCTTCTTTCCCACCGCTCTTTTTTCTATTTCATCAAAGAAGGTATACATGTCACCATATTACGTGACCTTGACATCTCCTCTAAGTTTGTCTGATCATTTTACATGGCTTCATATACGGTGGTTAGGGATTGTCTTGTCAAGTAAAAGTTTGCCAACAAGAGAGATTTTCTGGCATTTGGCTGTAATCTCATGGTTGTAAGTAAGGTCGAGAAGAGGATGGGTAACTAGAAAGTTTTGGGTTCAATTTATAAGGTTCTAGATCTCATCTCAAAATCCATTTAAGAAAGAAAAAGGTTTACTTGGGATGTCGGGTTTGGGAGGGGCGAGAGGACTGGGTAGGTGATAGAGGGGGTAGTAGGATTTTAGAAATTAGATAGAGGGAACTAGTTTCGTCTGGTTTTGGAAAAAATGGTTGATTTGGTAGCTCCTTTTTTTAGATTCTATGTTCTTTTTTTCATGAGTAAGGAGATATATTTTATCCAATTTACTAAGAGTTTTTTTTTCTGTAAGCGGCCAAAGTAGTTAAAATCGGGATTTTACGTAAAATAAAAAATGGAGGTAAAATCGGAATCGTAAAATCGTAGGATTTGAGGTCCATATAAATATGAAGACGAAATAATATTAGTAATGAAAATCACGAATAACACAAAAGCACATAACACTTACAATGATAATTTTTCAAGGTTAATGTTCCAATGTATCAAGGTTAATGTTAAGAGGTGGCGAATCGATGATGATTAATACGTTGATGTGAATTGATTATAGTCGATGGTGGTTAGTGTGAGAGAACTAGATGATGTTGGTGGAGGAGAAGAAAAAGAGGAGTAATATTGCAAATTCTGGGGAAAATAAGTATAATTGACTCAAAGATTTGAATCGTAAAATCGTAAAATTTTAAAAATTTTAAGGATTTAAATCGTGAATAGTGTAGGATTTTAATGTCCATAGATTTTATAGTGAAATCATAATCGAAATAGGTAAGTAGAATCGTAAAAGCGTAGGATTTTAAGATTTAAATCGGGATTTTGACTACTCTGTAAAGCGGCTAAGGTTGAAGGCATGTGACAGGAGAACAAGATGGGATCAGAAGACAGGTCATGGTAGGTAGATGTATAAAGATTTTTGTTGTTAGATTTGGGAAGTAGTACAATCTATCAACAAATGGGAGGTTGTAGAAGTTTGGAAAGAGTAAATGAAGATGGGATGTAGGAACATTCATAAGGTTAGTTAATGTTGTAGGTGGATTTGGCCAGCAGAGCATTCTCACCCTTATTTGAGGTTGCAAGAGTTTGGTAGGAGAAGATAGAGATGTGAGGAAAGAGCATTTATTAACTCCACCCACTTACTAGGTTTAACCGACCAGATGCATCATTTCCTTATGATTTGGAAGCTCTAGTGAAACTCCGTGCGAAAGAAGGATATTGATTGCATAAAAGAGGTAGTCAAAGCTCCATAAAGGAAAAACAGAAACTCCATGAACGAGAGAGGATAGAGCTCACCAGGGAGATTACAATATAAAATGAACAGTCAAAAACCATAATTAGATCAAAACCAACAAAAATAACACACACCAAACCATCACCTGTAAGATAAACAGCAAAACCAACACGAGATTGAAGAGAGCCAAAAGGCAGAAATTCAAAGGCGTCTCGCCAAAAAGGAGGATCGCACTCAGGCACCTCCTCAAACACAGAATCCTGGGAAAGGACAATGGTCAACCGGTGTGAACAACAATGATGGGTGCTACCAGGAGGCTGGACCTTCACCCCGTGCACAAAATAGACAGAACCAAGCCGAAGACGATCACCAAAATAACCAATCAAAGAAGACAAAGCGGAACCCTGTATCAAAGTTCCCTGCAAATACAAATTGAGAGAGAACTCTAATTAGAAAGCAGGACAGCGAAAATCACAAAATTGAACAAAAACAATTAACAACCTACCTCTTCATCATTCCACAGCGTACAATACGAAAAAATTTGCTCTGGATTCTTGATGGAATAAGAACCCCATGCATGAACCAACCGGAGCTTAAGCATCGTTTCTGGACCATCACGATCATCAAGATCAGCAAGCAGCTTGTGAGATACCATATGGCCAAAGTAGAGAGGAAGAAGAAACTCTCACCCACAGTAAAGTATCAGTGACAATGAACCCAGAAGCAAATGAAGCCAAAAAAGAAGAAGCAAATATATAGAGCGGCAAAGGGGACCTAAAAAACCCCATTCCGACAGGCGAGGTGAATCGCTGTCAATCCCCAACCAATAAATTGCCATGCAAAGAAGAAGAAAGGAGGCAAATTCCTTACTGCCACCAACTCCTTCAGACAGAGACGCCTTGAACGGAAGAATTTGGAAGGAATGGATTTTTTGTAAGGCAAATAGATAGATGCGGATGTGACCTTAACCCCAAGACCCCATTCATTGGTCGTCTTTTCCAGAAAGAAGAAAGAGAAAGGGCACTTTTCATCACATTCTTTGTATAGACAACATTTCCAATTCCAAA